CTTCACACCATGCCCCACCTCTGCCCATCCGAGGCCGGGGTCCCGGGCTCAGCCTCCCACAGAGAGCTGCTGGCGGGGTTTTGTGCAGCCGGACGCCATCCTGGGGTCAGCAGTGGCGGGCAATGAGGAGGGGGGCTCGGCCCCGTGGGGCTGCTGCGGGGAGAAACAGCCACGTGGCAAGGCCCCTGCCAAGATGCCTCCCCTAGGGGGGCGGGCTCCGAGGGGCACGGGCAGGCGCCGGCAGACAGGAGCGAGGGGACGGGGCGGGACCTACCTTGAACACCTGGGGCTTGTGGATCAGCCCCATGAGCGAGAGGAAGCCGCCATAGGACCAGCCGTGGATGGCCACCCGGCTCAGGTCGATGAAGCCATACTTCTCAGCCACAAACTGCAAGCCCTCCACCTGGTCCTCGATCTCTACTTGGCCCTGGGGGGTGAGGCCGGGCACCTCTCAGTGGCCTCCTCCCCCGGGGACGCCCTGCTGTCCCACCTGAGTCCCTATGGGAGAGCCCGCTCTCTCTGGGATCAAGGCAGTTTCCTGTTAGCCTTCCCTCTCTCTGCCCCGTTCACACCCCGCCTGCTCTCTGGGGTGGTGCTCAGGCCCGGCACCAACCCTGCTCTGCTACCTCCTGGCTGAGCGACTCTGAGAAAGTCACATCCCCTCTCTGGGCCTGTTTTCCCATCCCGAAAATGGGATGTCAACCTGACTGGGATGGCGTGAGGATGACGCGAGATGATAAGCGTCTCAAACTCAGAGGCCTGGCACATACTCAGGCTCAGCGAACAGCTGGTGTCACCATCACCATCATCGCCACCACCACCATCACCATCAGCAGCACCTCTACAGTCACCAGTCCCTGTCTGGCCCAGCCCTCGGCGCTTCCTGCCAACTGGGCCTGTAGTGACATGTCTGGCTGCGGCTGGGCTCAGGCACCAGGTGGGATGGATGTATACCTGTCTCTCCAAAGGGCAAAGCTCAGGCTGAGCAGCAAAACAGACATTCCCCTTGGTTCCAAAGGGCTGCCCCACGTAGGCCTAGCACCCTGGCCAGGACGGTGCTTGTGGGAGGTGCCCCAGAGCTAATGACGAACCCTGAGCCCACACACCGCAGGTCCCCCTTCACCACGCAGGAAGGGCCCGGAGAGACTGGGAGACTAGTTACCATTTGGTTCTTCAGGGCCCCTTCAAACCGAAGCCCTCGCTGACACGAGCCCCTGCCATCAATCACGACCACCGCATAACCCAGGGACGCCAGCGTGTTGAGCCGCAAATACTTGATTCCTTTGAAGGAATTATTCACCAGCTGCACCTGTAGAGGAGGATGAAGCGAGGGCGTCAGGCTCTGGGTGAGTGGCGGGAAATCCCACGTGGCTCCAGATGAAATGGGCGGGTCAGACAACAGGGAGACGGGCGGGGTCTCAGCCCAATCAGAGCTCCTGGCCTTCGTCATGAAGGCTGTGGACTCCTGGAGGCGTCCTGGGTGCCGGGCCGTGGAAGGTGAGACAGGGCCCACGCCGAACCAGGCCTTGCGCCAGGAACGCGCTCCAGAAAGGAAGGCCCCGGTCGTGCTCCCTCTCGGCTGGGCCCTCTCCCCGGCACCCTCCCTCTCTTCTTCAGTCTCATTCCGTGACTTTGCTACTGTTTGGTTACGGCTAAGACACAGACCCAAGAAATGGTGGGGTCGGAGGCGGGCGGGCGCCCTGAGTCACTCAACCTCACGCAGACCCCGCTTTGACACCGTCAGTACCCACAGCCTGTCACCCTCTGTGAGTGCATGTGGGGGCGCGTCATGGGCACTGGGGGTGCCGACAGCATCCCCAGCCTCCACCTACTCGATGCCAGGAGCACTGCCCACCCCAGCTGTGACCAGACGTCGCCCACTGTCCTCTGGGGGACAGAACACCCCCAAGTGAGAACCGCTGTCTTAGATGGACCCGCCTGCCAAGCTGCCGGCCAAGCCTGCTGGCCTGTCTCCTTCTCAGGGAGCTGTGCCCAGGGCCCACAGCCAGCTTTGTCCCTACACTGGTGACCAGGAGTGGAGTCGGTTACTGCTGGGCAGGTGGTCCAGATGAACATATGGGGATCGGGGGGGGTCCCCAAAGGGACAAGGTAGCATCAGCAGGTGAAGGAGGGGTGGCTGTCCAGGGGGATCAGGTGTGCAGAGACCCAGAGGCAGAAGGGCAAAAGACCCTGGAGCCCAGTCCTGGCATGGAGGGAGGGGGCATGGGGAGCAGGGCCGGCACCCACCTGGGGGCCCCCATACACAAAGAGGACGGTGGGGTGCTTCTTCCCTGGCTGCACAGCATGCGGCTTGTAGATCATGCCGTACAGGCGCACATCCGATCGCGTGTGGAAGTGGAAGATTTCTGGGGGCACGTAATCCGGGGGGCAGCCTGTGGAGACAGAGCGGCCGTGGCTACTCAGGCGGGAGCCCACAGCCGCTGACACCCGCACGCCACTGTGCGGCCCCTAGCCACAGAGGCACCCACCCCACCCTGTGCTTTACATGAGAATCTGAGGGCCGGAAGTGACTCTCCCCTGTGTGGGTGCAGAGCCAGCTCCAGCAGCCCCTGATGTTGGCTGATCCTCCATGGAGGTGACAACAGTCCTGGGACTTGACTGACAGCCAAATTCACGGTCTGCTTCTCTCTAACTTTGATGGCTACTTCATACTTGCAGAGCCACACTGGTGTTCTGACCATGACGGTGAAAAGTCTTTAAGGCAAGTTTATCTGGGTAAGCCGGGTACAGAGGTTGAACGAGAAAGTGTAATGCCGGGTCAGGGGCTGTTAAATGCTTCCTGAAAGGGCTGGGCGTGTCTCGGGCTTTAAGTGCCGAGGAGGCATCGTGTGTCTAGTAGCGACTCGGCTTTGCTGCTGGCGTGCAGGCACCGGGAAGAGCACCAGCAGGGCCGCGGCCCAAGAGCCAGTTTGCTACGTGCTCATAGAGGTGGTGTGCAGCAGACTCTAGTCCACCTGCCCGCAAACCCGGGGCTGGGTATCCGGACACCCGGGTTCCCGTCCCTGCCTCCCCCTCATTTGTACCACCAGGGCCCACAGTCCTGCTCCGACGAGCCACGTGGTGACATGGGGACGGTCAGGGACTGAGCTACTGGGTGGAGAGGCCTTTAATCTGTTTAGGTTCCAGGAGGTGATGACGTAACAAGAGGCTTTCTAGCCCATGAAACACTGCAATGCCAGGGCTTATTTCCTAGAATATCCGGAAATCTAGCAAGTGGCAGGGCTGGGGTCAGCGGGGGGCTTCCCTTTTAGGGAGAGATTCCTGTGTGCAAGGCGCTCTACTGAGGTTTGATTAATCGTTCATCTCATGAACGGTCTTTGTACTATTTTGTAGATAAAGGAACATTTTAGAGAGACGGCTGACTTGTCTATGGTTCTGAAGCCAAAACTGGAACCCAAGGTCACCCCAGCAAAGTCCTAACCATCCTGCAGGCTCCTGGGCAAACTGACAAGCTGCCTCCTGGCCCACAAGGCCCACTAAGGCTCCTTCCACCAAGGCTCCAGAGCATCTGCTCTGCACCCCAGGAGATGGCTGCCCCCAAGGACAGGGATGCCCCCAACAGGGACCCTCTGTCTGCAGTCAGCTCCTGAGCCGAGTCTGCTCTGTGCACTGCAGTCCTTAATTACAGCAGAGAAATGAGAGATCGTCTCAGGTGGCAAAGCCCCCAGGACAGTCGGGGCCAGTGGTCACGTTCGATGACAAGCTCTTGGGGCTTCCAGGAGGGCCCGGATGCTGGGGAAGCCGAGCGGGCAGGGCTCTGGGCCACACCCACCAGGTCAACCTCCTCTCACCAGTGTTATTTAATGGGTCCACATCCCATTTTGCAGATGGGCAAGCTGAGACTCCCAAGGAGAGGGACCCGGTCAAGGTGCCCGAGAGATCTGTGGCTACTCACTGGCCGCCTCCATCATGCTGGCCCAGAAGCGGGGCTGCTTGTGCAGAGGGTCGTCGTCGGGGCCGCTCAGCTTGTAGACGTGCACGCAGGGCGGCGTGCCCACGCTGCTGTAGTGGCTGATGAACATGTCGAAATTCTGTAGACGGGACGGGGACACTGAGCACCTCTCCCCTCTCAGCCCCTCCGCCCCTGTGTCCTTTGACCCATCACCTGCCAACCTTCTCTGAATAGTTACTGTCTTACCCTGGTGCTCACTCATTTAAACCTCAAACTCCACCCACGTCAGGTGGGTGTCATTACCATTCACCCCCATTTTGCAGATAAGCAAACTGTGGCCAAGAGGAATCTACCCCCTGGCCAGGGTTCCTGGGTGCTCAGACCCAGAACCTTCCGATGCCAGAGCCCGCTCACCTCGCTGGTTCTACAGTCATAGAACTACGACCAAGTGTTTGCCCTGCACAGGGAGTGGCCCCATGGTTGGCCACTGCCACTGGAATGTTTTGTGAGGCTAAGGGCTGGTGCGGGGATGGTGCCATCGGGCGCACGAGGGCCCGGGGGAGTGCCCACCTGGCTCATGGAGCAGCTATGGGAGAAGCCAGGCGTGGTGAGGCGCACGACCTCGCCGGCTGACTCGTAGCTGACCACGTACAGGTGGTGCTCCAGCGGCGTGTCCTTCGTGCCTTGGAAGTACACCAGCTTCGTCTCCTCATTGACCCAGATCTGCGGGGACACAGGGCTCCTGGTGAGGCCACCCCAGGCTCTCTGTGCCTGCCTTCCCACGGCCGCCGGCCCTCCCCCTGCCACACAGGGAGGGCCCAGCGTTCTGGGGACAGAGGATCCCTCCTCCCCCAAGCTGGCTGGAGGAGCGTCTGGGGGAGAAGCACTGCTCAGACCTCGATCTCGCTGGGCCAGCCACGCGCCCTGGGGTGATGTGAAATCAGAACACTGGACAACTCCTGCGGGCGCGCGGGAGCTGAGGGCCCTGTGCCTTGGACAGTGCCATCCCAGGCTGAGGCCCTACAACCCCAGGGATCAGCCCACCCCTGAGCCAGAGGAGTGTGGTTAAAAGGTGTCGCTCCCTGCCCCCAGACCCCATGGGGTTCTGACGTAATGCCCTCGGGAGGAGAGGAAGCACCCTGCTCTGGAGATGGGGACAGGCACTGCCTCTCTGGGGCTGACCCGGCAACCTGGAAAAAGAACACTGATAAAAGGTGTGTCCTCTGACCTGGCAGTTACGCCCTGGAAATCGCTCCTGAGGACTTCACCTAGGAGGGGGTTTCAAAATGGAGGGACAAAGACGCTCAAAGTGCTTTTCAAGCTAAAGAAAGATGACAACTTTTCTCAAAAGGTGAGATTGGTCCCATAATTACTGCACGATTCACTGTGGCCACAGAAAACTCTGTTCTAAAAGGCCTTTACGAAGCCCCTGAAAAACAGTGCAAACAGCAAAGTGCAGAGCTGTCCCTCTGTGGTCGCCTCCAATGGGGACGAGGCTACAGGGTGGGTCTGGTGGGGACCGAAGGGGTCCGACCTGAGTCTCATCCAGAACGACTCAGTTATTACAACAAACACTGATGTATTCATTGTTACTGTACTTTTTCAATAAATACTAGTTTTCTAGCAATAGACGACGTCACTGAAAAACCAAAACCGCATGGAGTCGAGCCGGTTCTGTCACAAGGACAGTGTGAGCAGGGGACAGTCTCCAGGCAGTGGGGCTGGCCGGAGCTAGGCCTTCAGGGGGCCCCGAAACAGGCCGGGAGTGCATGCCTCAGGTGGGGTCCTCATGGGGTTACTTTCCCTTTTTAAAATTTTAAAACGCTGCCGCAACTGCTTTTGTTTTTAAACTTCCAGGTAAAAAGGCACGCCCACGGTGAGATGCTCACGGCACTGGAGAGGAAGTGATGTGGCCTGTGTGCATGCCATCGCTACGTGTGCAAGGGCTGCAAGTTCCTTTAAATTGCCCTCGCCCAGGGTTATTCTGCCCCCAGGGGATGCCTGGCCATGTGTGGGGACATCTGTGGTCGTCACAACTGGGGGAGGTTCTGGCATCGAGTGGGTGAGGCCAGGGATGCTGGTCAACACCCCACAGTGCCCAGGACGCACCCCTGCGAACGGCCCGGCCCTGACGTCAGCAGTGCCGCGTGGGAGACCAGCTGACAAAAGGAAGGAATGAAAGCTACCGGATGGCCCCATCTCGCAGACGAGGACACTGAGTCTGTTCCCGGGCCAACGAGGGGCAGGGCTGGGCTATGAGCCGGGGGGCACCCACAGCACAGCCACGGGGAGGAGGCGGTGGCCCTACGCTTCGGGCGCCCAGCCTTCCGGCACTCTCGCCTCACTCACGACGTGATCGTGAAACCCGACAGAATCGGGACTGTGCTCCAGCTTTTCACGACTCGCTTTCTTCCCAACAATTTGTAATGACGTCTCTACGAGTCAGTGACAGGGCTTTCCCTCAGGTGTGGCTACTCTGTACCCAGCACAGTCATCTACAGAGCCCAGACGGGCCGATGTCGCCGCCAGCTCGCTCACTCAAGTGTTCATGCGTGCGGGGGAGGGGAAGGCACGCCCTCCCTGCAGCCACTCCCTTCTTCCACACACCTCCCGGAGGCAGGCCTGGGGACAAGCCTGGTTGGAAGCTGTGGGATAATCCCACAGTAGGCACCCGAGCGACCCACAAACTGCTCTCCTGAGGACAAGTGGTTTCACGGAGCGGTACACTGAGAACGGGCCAGGCCCCCACCCACCAGGATCCAGCAAGAGGTGCTCAGAACTGCCCCTGCGTCCTGGACCAGGGTGTCCCTGGTTGTGGTCCTGGGCATGCTGAACTGTGCAGGGAGCAGAGGAGGAGGGAGCGGTGGCCAGGTGGGGACAGAGGGAGCCACGAGCACGAGGGCTCTGGAGGGGGCCCGGAGCGCGTGTGCTCGTGTGTGTGCACAAGCGTGCACGGGGACTGGTACCTTGGAGCCATGCCTGGCCAAAACCTCCCACTCGCCGCTGGTCAGTGCGATCTCCTCCTTGATGGCGCACTTGAATTCGTCTGGAAAGAGAGACAGGAGGAAGGCTGAAGGGGCCCTGGGAAGCCTGAAGACTGGAAGCTCTGGGGTGAGCTCCCCTACAGCAGCCAGGCTTCTTCCGAGCCCCCCACGTTCCAGGCTGGCTGCCGGCGACTTGCCAAGTGCCGGTCTGCAGCCTCTGCAACACAGGCCAGCCCAGGGGCCCCTTCCCAGTTCTCCTGCCACCCACGAGGCCCCCGAGGCCTGAGCGATGGCTCGGCTGTCGGATCCCCCGCCACGCTCCAGCCCTCTCTGAGCCTTGCGCACCCTGTTGCTCTCGCGTGTCCTCGGCCGTCCGGATTTAAGCCCATGATTCTCTCAGCCCAGAGTCCTGATGACCACATCTATGGGGGTCTCTCTGGCAGGACCGCCCTCTGCAAAAGCCACCTTGTGTCACAAGGACACACTCTCCCAGCCAGTGCCGTCAGTGTCCCTGTCCCTCAGGCGCTTCTGCAGGCTCCTGACCTCCCGTCCACTTCGCCAGCACACCTCACGCTGCCTCTAGGAACTTGTTCCTTCTCATCCAAAGAGCGACGTTGTGCCTTCTCATTCGTTCAACTGCCATCAAGCAGGCGTGAGCCACGTGACAGGAAGCGTGAGCCACGTGACAGGAAGTGTGAGCTGGGGACGCAGCTGGGGACCCACACGCAGGGCAGATGGGACACCAGGTGTGCCCACCTCAAAAGCAGGAGTTCCCCTGAGAGGCACCTGCTGCGAGTTCCACCCAACAACCACTGGCGAGCTGTCAGCCGGTCCGTTTCAGAGGCAGAAAAAAGGACGTGCCAAGTGACATCTCCCAAAGCTACGTGGGGGCAGGGATTAAGTTAACCGACAAAACGAAAAGCAAAAACACGAAAGAGCCAAGAAAACTGTCCTTGGAGATGGCGCTCCTGTGACGGCCGCATTAAACCCCAAGTGACAATGCCCTGACACAGCGGCCACTCCTCGATACCTTGCTGTGACTTCGCTTCCTGACACGTGGGCTCTCCCCTCGGCTCGCGGTACCCTGGATTCACCCTCACTCAGGTCTCTGTCCCCTGTGCTGGTGGCCACCTCAGGCTCATTTGTGGGCTCTCCCTCTATCCATCCTGTACAGTTATCCTGGGGTGACTGCCCCAGGGGACAGTGAGCGATGTCTGGAGGCATTTCTGAGTGTCACAGCTGGGTGAAGATGCTCCTGGGATTGGGTGAGTGGGTGGAGCCAGGGATGCTGCTCATCACCCCAGTGCCCACGACGGCCCCACAGAGAACGACCCGGCCCTGATTTTAGCAGTGTTCAGGGGGGACCCTGCCCCAAGCCTGAAGAGCCCTGGCTTGGCTCTCAGACCACGCCGCTCCCCCAGCCAGACTCGGTTGGCCCTTTGATGCTCCGTCCTGCCCTGAGGCTGAGATGCCATCCGAGTGTGAGTACGGCCACACTCCCATCACGAATCCATTCTGCTCCCCAGAACTCTGGGCACGGGACCTTCCACACAGCGTTCCCACTACTAGGCATTTCACCTCAAATGCGTCAAAAAACCAGTTCTGGATTTTTTCCTCCTAAAATTGCCTCTCTCAGAGCCTTTCTGTCTCAGACTGGACCTCCAAACATATTCCACGTCTCAGCGCAAATCCAAACTCCACCAGCAAACCGGGCCAGCTTGGCGGTCAAAAGCATTTAGAATCGAATCACGTGGGTCATCCCATCCCTCACTTCCCGGCTCCAGTCCCTGTCCCCTCCCCTCACCGCTCAGGCTACACTCCATGTGGTAACCCCAGGAATCACTTTAAACTGGTGTAAGATCAATGGTAAAAGCCGAGTGCTCCCTGTGCCCACAGGCCCTTCCGGACCTGCCCCGCCCACCCCACCCCAACTCTGCTTCAGCCACCGGGCCTCGTCGCTGCTCCCCCAGCACACCACGCCTGGTCCTGCCCCGGGGCCTTTGCACAACCCCTCCTATGGCCTGGGCGCTCTGTGTGGCGGCCCCCGCCTCCTCTGCCATGCCCTCCAAGTGTGCCCACGGCACGTGACCAGAGACGTCCTCCGGACCCCCACTCTAGAAAGCAAGCCCACTTTCAACCTCTCGCCTCGCTGCATTCTCCTTCTCACGCTCGTCACGCCTGGGACAGCGTCTTTCGTCGTTTTTAGACCGCTACTGAACTCTGCCATCGTGGCACGGAAAAGGCCACAGATGACAGATACGCAAATGGGCCTGACCTTGTGCCGATAAAACTTTACTTATAGAACCAGGAGGCCGGCCGGATTTGACCTGCGGCCACGGTCTGCGGACCCCTAGCACGAGAAGGGCCTGGCAGGTGGCAGGTGCTCAGTAACTACTGCTGACTGGACGAACGAACAGCCGGCTATGAGAACCCGGGCCGGGCGGTGAGTGACACGCGGGGAACCCTGGCTCCTTACTCATCCGCCCCCTCCCTCATGGTGGGCTCGGTCACAGGGCAGGTCAGAGAGCAGACAGTGCGCGGGTCCGCGGCCGGCTGCCCGGAGGAGCAGGGTGGCAGGATGGCTTTGCTCACCTTCCCCGGGGCTGAAGGGCTCGCCCCAGTCGTAGCCGCTGGGCTTTAATAAGGCGGTGACCTTGTACAAGTGGCAGAAGCCCGTCTTGCATTCGTTGGCACGGATGAAGCAGAGCTCATCCTCTCCCTCTGACTGGGCGAAGGGGTAGAAGATGTCGTGAACCTGCCAGGCAGCGAGGGGAGACGCATCAGGAGGTGGGGGCGCCTGCCGAGGACGGCGAGGCCCTGGCCGCTGGCCAGCCGCAGGACCCAGGGTGCACACCCAGCACCTCCGCGCCCTTACATTGATCCACACATCGGTGACCTCCTCGTAGACCACGTATGGCTGGACGTCCCCAGGCACGGCTCTTGCAAAGGCCACCCGCTGCTCCTCGTTGTCAGCGGTGGGGATGAACAGGGCCGGGGGCAGGAGGACGAGCTGTAGCCGCTGCTGGGGCCGGTCCAGGAGCATGGCCCAGGCACTGAGCGGGAGATGGAGAAGCCAGGGCCTCAGGGACCAGCAGACGGAAGCCTCTGACGCCCACCTCGCTGCCACCCGACCGCTAACCCCGTAACACACACAGATTTCCCGCAGGCTTGGGGACGGCAAGAGGGCTGACACAACTCCGTCACCTGACTTTTGTTTTGGAAATGTCTCACATCATTCAATCTCACAGCAGCATGGCGAAAACTCCGGAATTTCTGCCACATCCTCGCCACGCATACCACCCTCGATTTCATACTTCGCTGTGACTTTCTAACTTAAATGTATTTTAAGTGGGGACCTGTCGGTACCATAAGTGGAAAGGCAGCATCTCAACATAAACAGGGAGCGACTGAAACCAAACCACAGAGCCACGTCGCGGGGACGTGAGATTCCAGTGAGAGCCCAAGCCCGACAAGGCGCTGGGCCCGAGTCCAGCGGTCTGTTACGAAGCGGCCTGGCAAGGGTTTTGAGAGGACCAGCACACCCTCTCTGTCCAGGCGCCAGCGAGCCAATGTTTCAGCTCTGTCCTCTGTTCACAGCGTCCTCCACAACTACTCAGCCCTGCCGAGGTGACTCGAAGCGGCCACAGACAATCCGTAAATGAATGAGTGTGGCCTTGTGCCAATAAAACTTTATTTACACACAGCAAAATGAGGATTTCATATCATTTTTGAGTCTGATGAAACATTACTATTCTTTGGGGTTTTTCCCCTAATCATTTAAAAACAGAAAAACCATTCTTGGCCCGGGGAACTCACAAATATGGGTGGGACAGGATTTAGCCCTCGGGCCATGGTTTAGGGCTCGGTTTAAGAGATGTCTGTCTCTGATGCGAGCAGAAGAGCTTGAAAGCAAGTGAAAAGGGAACCTTCTATTTGGTGACTCCATGTTTCTTATGACAAGGGGGCCGGTGACCCACCCAGGGTCCCGAATGTGAATGACTGGGGTTCCGCCAGACTGAGATACTCACTACTTGCCATCCCGGGTCCAGCCGGCCCTGGCGATGTATTCCACTCTCGGGAAGAGCATGCTGAAGGGCTGTACCAAGTTCCTTCTTGGGTCAAGACGATCTAAGGGGAAAACAACCTTGGGTTACACGCTCTGGCCTGACTACATGCTGTGCGGAGCAGATGGCACTGTTAGGGGTGCGCTGTGGCCCCTGAATCTGTACGTTGACGTTCTCACCTCTAGTCCCTCAGAATGGGGCCTTATTTGGAAAGCGTAGCTGCAAACATAATTAGTCGCACTGGAGTGGAGTGGCCCAAGTCCCACAGGACTGGTGTCCTTACACAAAAGGGACATGCGGACACAGGCACCACATAGGCAGTGTGTCTGGTGACCACAGGGGGAAGGTGGCTGCCCCCGAACCGAGGAGAGAGACCTGGGGCAGATCCTGCACCCGCGGGAGGAACCAGCCCTGCGACACCTTGACTTCGGACTCTCTGGCTCCAGAACTGTGAGCCGATGAACTCGTTATTTAAGTTGCCCGGTGCTGGCTGAAAACCAAAGGCTCTGGTATGGGCTGCCACTGCTAAGCCAGGTGGCCTTGGGCAAGACACAGTGTCTGGATGCCACGGCTTCCTGGAGCCTAAACGAAGCCAGCTCAGCATCGCTCCAGAAGGGGTGGGGTGGGGAGAAGGCAGGCAGGGCCTCAGCATATCCCACACCCCGGCGGGCCCCCACCCACATCCCCCGGCGGCCTGCTCCGCTGGCACAGCCCACACCACCGCAGGACCCTGTTCATCAGAGACAGGGCCAGGGACCATTTACAACAAAGCCACTTTGGGCAGATCCATGTCATAGCTGCTAGAATATTCCAGTCAAGAGTAAAGAAGAAGTCTGATTAGGGCCTAACTGTGCCCCAAAACAAAAACCAACCTCTAGATTACAAATAAGTGTATTTTATCTTACGCTTTTTTTCCAAAACGTTACACGAGGTGGTGTTTTGGCAAAAATACGCAAGGGCTTTCTCGGCTTGCCTGAGCTCTAACCTCTGACGTGTGGGGTGTTTCCTTTTGATGCCTGGTGTCCCCATCCCCATGCTCTTCTCAGCCATAGCCTCTCTTGCCCTGCCAGCTATGGGAGTCTGAGCAACAAGTCCCTGAGTGGTGAGGACCTCCTGTTAGTTCACGGAGGGAGGCACAGAGTGACAGGGTGCAGCCAATGGCCGGGCAGTGCTTTTTCCCATTCAGTCAGCCAAGGGGAGCGCCTGCCCTGGGAAGGGGCGAGCAGCCTGCCGCCACCCAGCTGTCTACCTGCTTCTCTCACCCATAAGCCCCTCCGGGGTGCGCGGCCCCCTTACCTTGCCCTGACTGTCAGTCTGAAATTCAGCCAGCTTCAAAGCGATCTTGGGGTTCTTGCTGCCTACAGAAATGAAAGTGAGGTGAGCCCGGCAGGTGTTGCCCGTGTGGGACAAGAGCAGGTGTTGGGGTGGAAAATGCAGGGTGACGCCCACAGAAGCCAGCGTGGGGTGGGGGTGGGGGGATGTCCAAATGTCCCCATGAGCACGTCACCCTTTCTGGTCCAGGTGCAAAGTCTCTGGGCAGGACTTTCCAGCCGTGGGCCTAGACCTTGTTCCAGACAGTGACGTGACAACTTCCTTATAGTTTAAGAGCACAGCGCAGACCCTGTGCTGATGGGAAGCTCGTGCCTGCCTTTGGAGAGCTTGAAATCTGGCTGTGAAGATGGGGCACAGCCGTAAAAAAACCACCAACGATACAGAAAAGTGCCACATGTAACACATGTGACACAGCCGGGGGCCCTGACACTGGGAGGCAGGTGGCTGACAGATTGGGACAACCGAGACATGCTCCCAGAAGTTCAGGCTCCAGTAACTTCTACAACGAATCTCAACTCCGGCCCTCGCGCCTCCACCACCCCCGGCGGGGAACGCCTCTGACGCTGCCTTCGCGTCCGTCAAACGGGGAGCAGGGAAGACTGACTTCCCATCTGCACGGGGACTGGAAACACCCACAGGGAGGCTGTCTAGCACAGCACATAGGAAGTGCTCACGGCAGGTTAGCACAAATTCTTTCATGCTTCCACGGAGGCCATGAACAAGAGGCTGGATCTGGCCTGCATGTGTATTTTGTTTGGCTCACTAAGTAATTTTAAATAATTCGAGAAACATTTAATTTGATTTCTAGTTTCTCTGGAGACACAGGACAAACTTGAGTCTGTGTTCTCACATGACGGTGAATGTCTGTCACATCCTAGGATGGGGTCCACACCCCCTCGCTGCCTCCCCTGGCTCCTGTCTCCTGGGCCCCAAGGCACGAAGCCGGTCACCCCTAACTGTGCTGTTGTCCCTGAGCCCGGACCGCATCTCTGGGTCTTCGTGAGGGTCCATCCTGGTTGGTGCTTCGCCATGCTCTGGGAGGACATAGACCACTGCCAAACCACCTGTCCTGGGCACTCACCTGTCCGGGGGTATCGGTACGAGTCTGTCTTCCTTTCTTCTAGTGCAGGTGAGGGAACGTGAATGACCTCCACCTCAGACTCATCGACTTCCTCATAGAGGATTCGCAGCGTCTTGCGGCCTTCTGAACCTGGGAGGGGGCAAGGCCACTGTTGAGTGGGCCGGGAGTCCCCCCACCTCCTGGACACACTGAGTGCCCTGCTCAGCCATGGCTGGGCCCAGACAAGGATGTGAGCCTTGGGGCTGGAACCCTGGCCCTACCCACTACCGGCCCTTCACCGAGTCACGTCTCCTCTTGGGGCCTCGGCTTCCTTAGCTGTATGATGGACGTAAGAACTGAGCAATGCCCAGCACAAAATGGCACAGGAGGTGGCCATGTGGGGTGTTTATGACCTGAATCATGTTATGTCCCAAAATCCTAAGCTGACTATCCCCAGAACCTCTGAATATGACTATATTTGGAGGGATGGGGTCTTTAAAGAGGTAATTAAGGTAAAATGAGGTCACTGGGGCGAGTCCCCATCCGACGTATGACCAGTGTCCTTATAAGAAGAGACTGGGACACGGACACACACGGAGGGACAACCATGTGAGGACACAGGGAGAAAACAGCATCTACCCATCCAGGAGGCCTCAGGAGAAACCGACCCTGCCGATGCCTTGATCTTGGACTTCCAGCCTCCAGGACTGAGAGACGACAAACGTCTGTTGTTTAAGCCACCCAGCCCGCGGGACTTGGACGGCAGCCCAGGCTGGTTCACGCATGGCTCACGGAAGATTATGATAAAGATCGTTATGAGAAGTGAGTGAGTCACTGGGTGGTGACGCCTCAGAAAGGAGCACGGTGACTGCCAATTCTGCCGTCGCCGGGAGGGAGCCCACAGCCGTTGCTTCCTCAATTTTCCCTCCTCAGCTGCTAAGAAGGATCCCCATCTGCTGCTTCTTGTACCGTCACCTATGACTCATTGTGCACGGACCAAAGATGTCTCCGGGAACATCCGGCCTGCGGGGGCCACTCCATACCTGCTTTATGGGTGGAGCACCAGAGACCCAAGGGGCTGGGTGGCTGGCTTGAGGCCATTTGGTTTGAGAGTGACAGTGCTTTAGCTCAAACTCAGTTATGACGATCACAGATGTCCCTAGACATTGTAGAATGTCCCCTGGAGGCAGAATCACCCTTGGTTGAGAACCACTGGTCCGCTCCCAGGCCACCTACCAGACACGTGTACGAAGACGTTCCCCAAAGTAAAACCAAAACCCACAGCTGGGCACAACCAAAGTGTCCGACAGCGTGGAACCAGGGCACAGTCACACCCCAGATCGTCTGCAGTCTCTAAAGAGGTCTCCGTGTGCTGACTGCAATAGGCCAAATGTCTACATCCCCCTGAATTTCAAATGTCAAATCCCACCCTTTCGAGGTGATGAGGTCGTGAGGGTGGGGCCTTCGTGAGTGGGATCAGTGTCCTTAAAACAGAGGCCCAAGAGAGCTCCCTGCCCCTTCCGCCGTGAGGACACAGCGAGAAGGCACTGGCTGTGGCCCAGGAAGGGCCCTCGCCAGACGCGGAGTCTGCAGCCTCCAGAACCGTGAGACGTGGACGTGTGAGGCTCATAAGCCCCCAGGCTGCGCTGTTCGGTCACCGTAGCCCGAGTGGACTGGGGCAGCGGCATCGACAGGAAGAGCACTGAGGCTTTTTTAAGCGACAAGAGCAGAAAAGCACGTAGACTGTGCATCTGTTAATAAAAGAAATGCACGCAGGGGCTCTGCTTAAAAACGGAAAGCGGCCTACCGTCCCAGGAGGCTGTGGGACACCACCAGTAGCCAGTGAAGCGGTCGAATTCTTCCTGGATGACGAAGGTGGCCACGCCTGCAGATTTGGGGTCCTCGAGAACATTGGATAAGCCTGGAGGAGCAGAGAGCCGGACAAGAGACGGGTCTAGTTTAGAGCGGGATTCTCCCCCTCAGCACAGCCGACGTCGGGGCTGAAACACTCTCTGGGGGCCATCGCCGGCACCGTCGGGGGCTGAGCAGTGTCCCTGGCCCCACTCACTCGATCCTAGGAGCACCTCGTCCAGCTGTGACAACTAAAAGTGTCCCTGGACATGGCCGGAGTCTGAGCTGCTCCTGGCTGAGCCTCTCAGGTTTAGAGTGAAGGTATGGGGCTGTGGGGCAGGGTGAGGACACAGAGGTCCGTGACCTGAGGCCATGCCAGGTGCAGAGTCCCGCAGACATCTGCAGAAGGGGGAGGGCACTTCTGGCGAGCAAGGATGTGAGGGAAAATGGGGAGCGGGTGAGACCTGGAGTTGGACAGGAGCGCGGAGGTGGGAGAGGCCGAGTAAGCAGAGGTACAGAGTAAAGTGCCCAGCAGAGAAGGCCGCAGAGGGCCACACGGGAGGGTGGCCCATGAGGTCAGAGTCCAGAAAGGTGCCTGGTGGTTGCGGTGAGTGGAGTAGGGGCAGGGTACTCTCCAGACGCCGGACTAGTGGCTATGATGGGTGCTGGCCCAGCCCAACAGACCACACTGCCGGGGGCAGGTTCCGGTCCACCCCAGCCAGAACCGGTGCCCTCCGCCTGGCCTCACCCCTGTGGCAGAATGTCAGCCGTCGCTCCTCTCCCGTCTCGATGTTGGCCACCCACAGGTCACTGCTGTTGATGAAGGAGAAGAAGGCGGGGTCGGCAGGGCAGATCTTGGGGTCCATCCGGGGCCCAGAACACTGGGTCTTGATCTCCAGGGGCTTCATAGGGGACACCTGGGGACAGAGAGGGTGGGCTCAGCGGGACAGGACCCCGGCCGCCTGCCTGCCCCACCCCCGACCAAGGACCAGGGCTCACCATGAAGCCGTTCCTGCCCCCGTCTCGACAGTGGAAGAGGCTGTTGCTGGCCTGGAAGAGGAAGAGGCCGCTCTCGCTGTGGAAGTCGTAAGAGGTGATGCCAAAGACTCCTAGGCGCTTCCGCTCCCGCAGGAGCTCCTCCTCCCGAGAGTAGACCCCGTGGTGGGGCGTGGCCTGGGGACACACAGGGAACAGGTGCCACGGTCAACTGTCGGAGGCCCTGGTGCCCTGGGCACAAACCCTTGGCGTGGGCACTCCTGGGAGGGACCTGACTAACCGGCCTGGGTCTGTGCCAGAGAGAACGCTGTGCCAAGCAGGGCAGGCAGCAGAGCCCCTAACCAGGTGGCCAGAGGGGGCGGTGCCCAGGGGTGTGAGGGGGAACAGGGCTGGCTGATGAGCTCTTCCCCTCTCAGCCCACCTCTGGGTTTCCCTATGCCTCTTTGCCCACAAAATCTCTCCAAGGCGGTCAAGGCTGTCCTCTGCCCCATGACACAGAAGGACACTGCTGGAACGTTCTTCCCTGGTCCCCAATGCCAACCCCACAGACAACCCCCCGCCCTCCTCACCACCCTCTCCTGCCAAGAGCATTTGATCTGAACCCAGCCACCAGCAAACGTTCGTACTTCTGCACAGGTCAGGGGCAGGGCAAATTCAAGACCACCTGACCACCCAAACACCTGACCTGGGGGGGTCCAGGCAGATCAACTATTGTGGACACCACACAGTCATCCCTAGAATTCTGACAATGCTATGGGGACGCAGAGGGACGTTAATGACAAGAAATGCACTTTGAAAAGCAGAACCCAAAGCAAAATCGTGCCCATGCTGCAGCAGAAGCTACCTGAGTACAAGCTCATGGCTTGGAGACTAACAGGGACACACGAAAGACAGAGCTGTGTGTCGGTATGGAGAAATTCATCGTGTGTCACCACCCCCCCCACACACACACGTAGCCTGGTTTTGTCACGTTACTTTCACAGTTGGAGACGACTAAACGGATACCAGACAAAAAGGCACTCCTGTCCCTCGCCTGCTGTCCCCTGCCCGGGAGAGAGGCGACTCCGGGGGCCGTTGTTAGCCAAGTCTCCATTAAAGGGCCCGGCCCAAGGTAGTTCAAGTCCATGGTGAGGTATTTAAGAGAAAGGGATCATTTGGTAGGTGTTCTTGTCGGAAGCCTAGACTGGGGCTGGAGCAGACTGGGGACCGGGGAAGGTGGGGGTGTGGAG